AGTTCCAACCCAGGAGAAGCCTTCTGACATCTAGTGGGGCACCAAATACCTGCCCTGCACGGGATGGGGCTCCCACAGCAAAGGAACCGGCCCCAAACATCAGCAGTGTTGTGGCCAGAAACACCGTTCCAGCTGTGGGGATGAAACAGTGAACAGAAAAGCCACAGTCTCTGCTCTCAGGGAATTGCATTTTGGTGGAAAAGATAGGTGACATCCAAGATAACGGAGCAGATAATGTAAGGGTGGGGTAGGGTGTGTGCTGTGACGAGTCAGCGGGCAAGGAGGGAGGGGGTGCTGGTGCAGGGCTGCTGTGGGCCACAAAGCCAGTGAAGGCTTCTCTGATGGGTGATATCCAGGCAGAGGTTGTATTGAGGAGAAGGCAGAGCACGTGAGCTTGTGGGGAAAGAGTCTTCCAGGCCAACGGAGTAATAACTGCAGAGACTGAAGTGGTAACCCACTGAGTGTGTTGAAGGAAAAGCAAAGGGACCAATGACCAAGACATCACAAAGACAGGAATGCACTGAGCCTCGTAGAGGGGTCTGTCCTGGCCGCGTGACCTTGTACCTCTAAGATCCTTCGTCTTCCAAATGTTCTCAGTGTCCGCTAGGCTCTGAGTGAATGAACACTATTTATTGGGTTGCTGTGTCCCACCTTCTGATCTCTCCAATATGGCCATGAAGTATATTTCTAAATCCAGGTGAGTCTCCCTTGAAAGCAAAGAACAAACTTTTAAAAATCCCAGACCCAGATGAATCAAGACGTCTTTCAGCAGTTAGTTCCCGTGGAGCCTTGACATGCTTCAGCTCTGGGGAATGTAACCATGAATCCCAGAGTCACAGCCCTTCTGGGATGTATATTCTAGCTACTCGGTTCTATTAGCAAGTTTACTAGCTTTTTCACATTGTTTTTCCTCCTGAGAAATTTCACCCCATGCTTTTGCTTCAAGCTGCAGCAAAGCTCTCGGGGATGCTGTATCTACTTACTGACCTATGTGAGGCACAGTGGTAGACACAGGGCTGGTATGTCCTTGTCCTTGAGTGCTGGTGGCCTTTCAGGAGGCTGGTGAAAGGCTTCCCAGCCCAGCTGAGGAATGTCACTGCATCCAGGGCTAAGTGCAGAGAAGGAGTCAGGCTGGTGAAGGGAAGACACAGTCTCGTCTCTGTAGGGGACCTCATTAGAGTGACCTTCATGACACGTGGGAGATTGAAAGGGACATTCTTTCTTCTGGACCTGGTTTGAGGCCAGTCGTCTTGAGAGTTTCATGCTGTCTCTCTCTTGATAGCAGCTACCCTTTTGTAGGACACGCTCTTTTGATTTGTTTGTTTAGTGGGAGACTCCTGGGGGATGGTGGTAGATTGAATGGTGACCCCGAAACAAAGTGCCCATGTCGGAAGCTCCTACCTGCAATAAGTAACGTCTTTATAAGGAGAAAGACAGGAGGAGCTTTGCCTCCGGGACGCTGGGAGGTGGAAGGGGGCTGTGTGAAGATGGAGGCAGAGCCGAGTCACGCACTCCCACCCAGATAAGATCTGGAGCCACCAGAGGCTGGCAGGGGCAGAGCTTCCCGAGGGCGTGTGGCCCCCTGCTCGTACCTTGATTTCAGATTTCTGGACTCCATGGCGACAAGAGAATAAAGTTCTGTTGCTTGTGTTCATCTCTCCAGAAATGAATATAGAGACATAAAACGCAGGCTTCTATTCAATATGTCTTCCCTAAAAGGCCCCAGAAAAATGGAAGCAGAAACAGTGTACACACTCAGAGGAAAAAAATGATGACTCCTCAGTCCAGCCCTGATGTGCTGTGGGCAGTGTGGACACTGCTCCAGGCACTCGCTTCTGGGTTCATTCCTCCCCCCAGTCCCGTGAGAGGAGTACCGTCATTGTCCTTTGATAGATGAGTCCATTGAGGCTTAAAGAGATGAAGTGACCTGCCCAAGATGCGCAAATAATGGAAATGTTCTCTCTTTCTCTCTCTCACCCGCATACCCCATATACACACATGCTCGAGTCTGAACAAGTTTTCTTTTCTCTTTCTCAACCTCTGTACCATAATGCTCCTCTCCTTCCCTTTCCATATGCCCACAATGAGCTGAAACGTTTTTACTTTATATATTTTCTTTAACCATTATCACTGATGCACAGGTATTCCTGCCTAACAGTTTCTAGGCATTTGTATCTATGCGTATGCTACAAAATGATTAATTGAGCGTTGTATGTTTTCATCAAAGGAAACAACGCAAAGATTTCTCCAAAGTCCTGTTTGACTAGAGATGATTAATTTTAATTTTCACATGAGCAGCATAATGCTATTAATCATTTAATATGTTTAATCATAATCTCTGTAATTCCTAATTAGGTTTATTAAACTGAAACATCCAGCAGTTGTGCACAAATCCAAATCTAAGTCTCCTTCTTGGGATGAGAATGAGCTCGTTTTAATTTCACATTTAAACTGGAACTTCTAACAGAATGGAAAAAAAAGAAGGGACTGGAAGGTTGCGAGTCCTCGCTGATGCTGCTACAAGCTTGGAGTGTTAAGGTGGACCCAAATCTCATATTCCCAGGGGAGAAGACAGAGCTTTGCTCTGTGTGGGTCTCAGTGATATCACGCTGTTCTTTGACTATTACTTGAAGGGGCCAGAGTTGATTGTTCACTTCCCCGTTGATTAGTTTTTTCATCCACTGATAATACATTTGTGTGATCAGTCAGTGAATCAGCTAGCCATTAAACAGACATTTATCATTTGTGTCACAGCTGGGCACATCACACCCATGCTGGGATCCCCAAGTGACCCCTTACAGCTTTTAGGGTGAAGTTCAGATTCTTGCTTTGCACACAGGGCTTTGATCCAACACCCCCTACCTACTTCTGTAATCTATTGTCCTGCCGTTCCTTTATAAATACCCCTTCCAAGCAGTGGTGCTCAAGTCCACGTACCACTTCTCCAAATCCAGAATATGATTTCACATTTCTGTGTCTTTCCACGTGTTTTTCTGTCCCCTGATACAACATCAGACCATTTCATCTCTTCTCTTGGACTTCTCACACGTGAAATTTCACCTCCAAAACAGGCAAGGCTTGCTGACCTGCCACCTGTGATGTGTGTCCCCGATTTAAGGTTACTCAAGCCATCCCAATTCACTCTTATTCCAGCACTTAACAGTCCGTTGCCATTGTCTTTTTTCTGCTTCTGTGTCTTTCCTTAACTTGGGAACGGTCTGTGATTTGGAAGTTTACGCCTCTCTTGAGATTTTTAAAAACCTCTAGCACCCTAAAAACTTCATTACTTTCCATTTATTGAATATATACCATGTGCCAAGGATTCTGCCAACTCGGCACACGTTATTACGTTCAATCTTCACAGAGCCCTGTAAGGTGTGAATTCTTATTATTTCTAATTTTCCGCCTAAGAAAGTGATCACCATTCTTCTCCCTATTCGCTCCATCAGTATATGCAAAATCACTAAGTACATTGTTTTGTTGTCATCATGACAATGAACTTGACAGGTGAAGAAGTCATCTGGTGCGGTTTTTGCTATCAAATCTGCATGGAAGAATGGTGTGCCAGCCACTGGGAGGTCTTGACTTGGAAATGCAATTTGGGGTGTGTTCCTAAAGAGAATATAAGTGAAAGCTTCCAGTAAATAACCATGGTTGATGAGACAGTTGCTAATTATGCTCGTGTTATTTGGGTGTTTCTTTTATATTTCGCTTTGTAAGATTGTCGTCTCCTCTAAGTTATTATTATTTTACACCTGGCTGCCTGCATGGATAATTTTGTCGCAGTCGTATGCTTCTAAATTGCTTATAAATAGGTGAGGACAATTCTTTACTCATGAGTTTGATGGGCTCACCCATAGGCTTTGTGTCATAGTGTCTAAGAAGCAGGTGATCTGGTGTGGATGGCGTCTACTGCCACCTAGAGGGAGCATATGCTAATTGCAAAGAAAGTATCTGAAGTGTCTCTGAAATTTTGAAATTCTAGAACTGAGATGATGGCAGTGGCTATAATGATACGAGATGTTACTGTGATTTTCTCCTAGTTCATACCTGTATATGAGTGTCAATGTAATGTCATGTTATCCAGGATTATTTGGGGGGGGGGGACAGTGGAGCAACCAGGTATTATAATAACGTGACGTCATCTAGACCAACGTAGTACAGCAGAACTTTCTGCAGAGATAGAGATGTGCTGTGTCTGCATTCTCCACCATGGGTATGTGTCGCTCTTAAGCACTTGAAATTCAGCTACAGAAAACAAATTGTTATACTTTATTTCGTTTTAATTCACATAAACAGCAACAGGGGATCAGCTGTAGCGGACAGCGTGGGTTTGTACAATTAGAAAACTTAAAGTTAGAACTTAAAAAGGTTGATCAGTTGGTTACGTGTCCTGCAGAATGCCAAACAGCCTTTTCAAATATTTTTCTTCACATTTTATCTGTGCAGCCTGAAAGCTTACGTAGGCATACCTTACGGTCCTGAATGGTATCAGTTACGGAATACTTATTCTCCTACCTATAATGATTATTACCTCCTTTTGTGTGTGTGTGTGTGTGGCCGGGGCTGGGTTTGAACCCTCCACCTCTGGCATATGGGGCCAGTGCCCTACTCCTTTGAGCCACAGGTGCCGCCCTATTCCCTCTTTTTTTGTGAGGTGTTCACTCCCCAGCACCTCCCAGGCCCCTTCCCTTGTCTGATGTTTCTCTGCAGTGTTTTTTACCAGCTCCGTAAAATTTTTAATAATTTGTTTTACTGTCTTTCCTCCGTGAGACTTAGGTTCCACGAGGGTGGAGGTTTTTGTCTGCTTTGCTCACTGCTAAAGCCCAGATCCTCCACAATGGGTGCTTGAATGAATGAAAGACAAGACACAGCAGCTCCTTCCCATCCCCGGTTCCTTTGTTCTGGCATTTTCCTGCCATTAAGGGGACGCAGAAGCACAGTGACATAGACCATGTGTGTCTACTCAGAGCCTCTTTGCTCTCCTCTTGTTCTTTTAGCAGACGGACGACGCAGCACCCACGGATGGGCAGCCCCAGACACAACCTTCAGAAAACACGGAAAACAAGTCCCAGCCCAAACGGCTGCATGTCTCCAACATCCCCTTCAGGTTCCGGGATCCAGACCTCCGACAAATGTTTGGTGTAAGTACTTCCTTTCTGCTAGCGATGTCCACTCTGGGTCCCCAGAGTCCTCTCCTCTCATGTAAGTTTTTGGTATTTACAGTAATAAGATGAGCTGTTTCTGTAGGGGTGGGGCAGGCAGGCAGTGGGGAGTGGGGGGGTTCGTTGTGGCTGCACACTCTTTATGACTGAGCACGTATTTCTTTATAGATGTTCACCATGTTTCCACTTGGCCAAATGGTCTTCCTCCAATAAGTAATGTGAATGTCAGATGGAAATTAAACTCCTAGATGACTCACTGCTGAAACAAGCCCATTGATGACCCCAAATCCAGTGGCCAGCTCCATAAAATTTTGACCAGTACCCCATATCGTGGCTCAGATGTGCGTTATGAGTCCTCTTGGTTTTGTTCTCTATTGCAGTTATCGAA